AAGGCCGGGCCTGGATAGTACTTGGATGGGAGACCACTGAGAAAATCAGGTGCCACAGGGGTGCACCAGTGGCAAAAACTGTCATTGTGTCCTTAGACAAGACACTTCACCCACATTGTCTATTATGAAAGTGGTGTGTGCATGAATGATGGTAATGGTTGGAGGGGCTGATGGTGCAGATTGGCAGCCTTGCTTCCGTGAGTCTGCCCCAGGGCAGCTGTGGCTACAGTAGTGTTGAGTGAATGAATAATGAATTGTAAAGTGCTTTGGATATCTTGAAAGGTGCTATATAAATGCAATGGTTAATTAATGCTTAGATGAGAGTAGTTCACAGAGAAATATGTAATTATATCTTACAGGTCCAGATGCAGATGTTCACCTGCCATGTAAAATATGCAGATTTCATTACAGCAGACCACTATCTTCTGTGTTGCAAGAGATGAGGATTTCATCGTGAAAAGCCTAGATACAATAAGCAAGTTCTAGGCTGGATATATATACCCACCTCTGACAGGACCAACTTCTCAACTCTGTCATAGTTGAACACCACACTTGATGGCATTTTTAATAAGGCAGCACAAACATGTACAATTTTATCAGTTGGTGCAACCTCTTTGTTTTCCATTTCATCCCGCAGGGACTTCACAAACTGGACAGGAAGTGGGCCATCAAGAATATGGAACCTGTTCTTCAGTGCACCAATGATGCACTGGAAGTAAAACTACATAGATGAAACCATATACTTGTATTCTTAGTATTTGTACAGGAGGATGGGTATTGTGCAGTGTGTGTAAGTGAAGGGGGGGTCAGAAGGGTGGTGGATGGATGGTGGAGAGGAATGTTGTGTGTGGTGTGTGTGGAGAGATGTATGACAGATCCACGGGGTAGTGGAGGATGTATGAAGTGCTGAAAGTTAGGTGCGTGTGTGTGTGTTTGTGTGCACAGTGCATTGTGTTGATGATGTGTTGATGAGTAAAGGTGTGCAAAGTAGTGTGTATTTAAATGAAAATGTGTTAACGTGATGATCTTAAAGTGAACTGATAATTACAATTACAGGTGGTTTCATACCAAGAAAAACAGGCATTTAGGGTTGCCTCTCCACAGATCTGACCTATTACTTTGTCTTGTTTTGGTCTCCATGAAGATGGAAAGGTTTAAGACATACTATGAAACATTCCAAAAAAAGCTATAACATCATGGAGACTTCAGCTTTGTCTGAAATTTGAAGTTAGTGGCATTTTTTGTTTTCATGTAGCATCAGATAAGAAAAACAAGTCAGCTATAAAATCAGCATATTTTTCATACTTAAAAACAAAAAAAAAAAAAAATAAATCTATTCCTGCTCTAACCAAAAATATCAAATTTATAAAAATCCTCAAAATCTTCTTGTTGTTGAAGTTGAAGCTTCATAGGACTACGTATAAAAATGTTCCCCTTTATATCTGACTTCAATTTTCTGGAAGATATCTCAATTTTAAAGATCATTTTTTTCACTTCATGTGAAATTCAAATTTTTAAACTGGCATTTAAAGGTTTAAAGATTTAAAAAAAAAAAAAAAAAAAAAAAAAAAAAAGGTATTTTTGAGCAGAGCTAGATCAGGGATAGATCTTTGGATTTTGTCAAAACAGTACGATAAAATATTAATCTATGATGACAGCTATTTTTGTAAGTGCACATGTATGTCCTTAGGGTCCATAGGACATTTTTTCTGAATGATCAAACAAAACAAACAAACAAAAAAAGATAAAAGAAAAAATTAGGGGAGACTCAAAGCTTAAATTGAAAGTTTGATTTCCTAAGACAGGTCACATACTATAACGTTACTGAAATGAAAGAAAATGTTGGATTTATCTGTTTGGTGATCAAGTCAATAATCATGAATAAATCATGATCAAAAAAGTAAATATCTAATTCCTACTTTGCCTAAAATCACCAGGCATTCTGTAGAATGGTATGCTTATATCTATGAAGATGACTGATGAGGTGTGACTTAACTTCCTTGTAAATGATGCATGTGTCATACATGTTGAAAGAATCAAACAAACCACATTGTCCATTGTTACTTTGACCATGTTACATAATAGCTGTCACCAATTTGTCATCCCGTGATTGAACACAGAAGCTGTAATTTATGTAATAAACTAGACTGGTTTAGATTCTCCTCTCTTGCACACTTAGTCATTCATAATTGTTTTCATACAAGGTGTCATACCAGCAGTCACACAATGAACTATGTAAAGCTGCTTGTGTTATGTCATCTTTCAGTGTGAAATATTATGTTCTTAGGTTTAAATTTACAGGGTTAGAGGTCAACATGACCAGTTTAAACTGCCATGATTTTTTAAAAATCTAAATATAACCCTTTCCTTTGAAGGGCTTTACCATATAAATATCAGGAACAAGGAAATGACATAAATGTCTTATCATGTGTTGGATTGTATAGGTAAGCGTGTCAAGAAAGTATGACACCTCCCCACAGGTAACTGCTCGAACCTATATAAGCCGATGAGCTGTTAACCAATGAGCATCAACACAATGGCTTTGAACAAATGGAACTGCATATTGATGCTGGGATGCCTCCTCAGCACAGGTAAAACTTCCAACCAGAGATTCAAAATTTGTAAAAATGTGTCTTTATTTCAGATGTACAAATGAAAAGAAATAGAAATTATATTACCATCTGTTGTTTCATATATACAAACCTCTAGCCAACATAATCTTTTAATTTATATATTTTTCTCCTCCAGAGTCAGCAGCTCAGCTTGATGGTAAGTGCAATTTAATTCAATGAAACACTATTGTAAAGTTAGAATGGGCATACATGTAAACATATTAATTGATTAATAAATCAAATACAATAATCATAATTAATCTTTCCCACATATAATTAAACTTATTTAATTACCGGTATTTCAGTATTTTTGTGTTGCCTTGGTTATTACGATAATAGCAGCTTTAGTCATTAATTTGAATGTAATTTTTTGGAGGATAAGCCCCTTGAGATGTCTCACCATCTCATTTTTGAGGGAGTCCTTATAGTCACAACAACAGAAGACACATACAAAAAGGCAGACAGTAGGCTACATAAATTCAGAAAAATAAAATAAAACACCATACACACACTCACACATGACTGTTACAGACTGAATAAATCAAATTTGAACAAAAATGAATACAGAGTTCAAATATAGTCACAAAATACAACAAGATGAACAACAAAATTCAATAAGATGATCAAAAACAATTACACAGGTTATGTAAATATTGCACCAGAGTATTTTTAAGGACAAAAGTTAAAGCACGGATCGATGGTGATAGATTGTTCCAATCAAAGAGAGCTTCATATTTATTGTTTTTCTTTTCAAATTTATTTTATTATTATCATTTTTTTTTTTTTTTTGACTTTTGGGACAACAAAAAATATCTGATCTGCGAGGCATCCTGTAAGAGGATCTGAATGGAATTAGATACTGTTTGAGATCTTCAGGATAACTGCGATTAATGCATTTAAAGATAATAATAATAACCAGTGAAGTTGATGTCGGCAGGACAGAGTGAGCCAGGACAGAGGGTAGTACATCACGCAGTGATGAGTTCTTAGGCAACAGCAAAGAATAAACCTGAACAGACTGTTATAGATCACATTGAGTGGTTGGAGGATAGAAGTTGTGGTATTTTGATAAATGATATCACAGTGATCAAAAATGGGAGGAATTTAGTTGTGAGATGATCTTTTTCCTGACAAAAAAGCTAAAACAATTGATGGACTGGTAAAGTAATTTTAAGAGGTATGAAATTTAGTTTGTAATTGTTTGTACGGGAGCTGAATAATAGTGAGGGATCAAGCCATAAAATAAAGTATTTAATTTTTTTCAACTGCTATAATTGATGATGAATTAGTAAATATATTTATTTCATTAACAGAAAAGGGACGGTTGATAATGGTCGACCATATCAAAAGCTTTAGTAAGGTCTGTCTATTGTCACGATAAATGTCAGCTCCCTACTAATGCGCTCCAGTGGGCCTTAGATACACAATTAACTCCACAACATGTGCGCAGTTTTCTGCTGTTTTTAATGTGAGCTCTTTTATTGGCACTGATACATCTATTGAAGATTTACGTATTGGATTTAATTCCGCATGTAGAACAGCATTAGACATTGCAACCCCAATAAATCCCAGGCTATTAAGACCCAAAACTGAGCCTTGGCTGAGTGACACACACGCTGCTCGACATGAGAGTAGAAAGGCTGAAAGAAAGTGGCTTAGAGTGGGAAGAGAGATAAGCTTCAAGTATCTTTTCAGATAGTGAAAGACAGCTGGCGTTCCTACCAAGAAACTCTTAGGACGGCTAAGGACAGGCATTTCTCTGATATTATTGCTTCTAATGTTCACAATCCACGGTTTCAGAACCTTTTTTCAATTTACCTGCTGCCTCTTGAGCCAATTCTTCATAAACACAACATATTATTTCATTTTTAAGCAGATGATTGCCAGTTGTACGTGCCACTGAACCAGTCTAATTCTCTTGTGGAGTGCTTAGATGAAGTCAAGTCATGGATGGTTTCCAACTTCCTAAACTTCAATGAGAAAAAAACAGAAGTAGTGTTGTTCTCTCCTGGTGATGCAGCAGTGTTTGCTCCTAAAGAGGCTGTGAGTCCAGTAGTGGCAAATTTAGGCGTGAAAATGGACTGTGGGTTTAAACTTGATGCCCAAATTAACTCTGTGGTGAAGACCAGCTTTTTTCAAATGAGGCAACTGGCCAAAGTGCAATCCATTTTATCTTGTCACAACTTTGAAATTTGAAACCATACTTTTATTACCTCTCGTTTAGATTATTGTAACTCACTTTACACTGGTCTCAGTAAAACTCTCCTCGCCTTTTAACTGTATCACATTAATTTGACCACATATCCCCCATCCTTCAGTCTTTCCACTGGCTCCTCATGCATCTTCTCATTGAGTTTAAGATTATTTTATTTACTTTTAAATGCCTCCATGGTATGGCCCCTCAGGATATGTCTGACCTGCTCGTACCTCACACCCCCTCTCATGCACTCAGGTCAGCAGATCAGGCTCTCCTCCATTTTTCATTTAATTTAAAATCAAAAGATGCATGTCACCAGAACAGTACTTCTTATTCTGAACACAGATTTGGCACCAAGACCAGTGTTAAGACTATTAATAAGGTTAAAAGTGAAGATAAGAATGATAAAAGAGTTTAACACAACTGATTGCTCTCCAGTTTGTGGTATGGCTCCTCTTAACAACAAAATAGTTGGAGGTGAAGATGCTCCAGCTGGAAGTTGGCCCTGGCAGGTCAGTCTACAGAGGTCTGGCCGACACATTTGTGGTGGATCCCTAATCAACCGAGAGTGGATCTTGACAGCAGCTCACTGTTTTCCAAAGTAAGTACTCTAATTGTGTTCAGTTTAAGGATATTGAGCTTCAGACATTTTTATACCAGTACAACGTCCTTCAGCACCAACAGACGAAGATGGAGGGTTTCACTTGGTCGTGAAAATCTACGTGGTTCCAATCCTAATGAGATCAAAAAGGCTGTGAGGAGGATCAGGATCCATCCAAATTATGACAGTTTTACCAGTGATAACGACATTGCTCTGCTCAGACTGTCCTCAGCAGTCACTTTCACAGATTACATCAGGCCGGTGTGTCTGGCAGCCGCTCACAGTGTGTTCAACAGTGGCACTGATAGCTGGGTCACTGGCTGGGGCACCGTTAGAGAGGGAGGTCAGTTTGATTTAATTCACTCTGCACAAACACTTTTCATCATGTGAATGTAATGAAGTGACCAGTGTTTCTCCTCTCAGAACTGCTCCCGTTTCCCCAAACCCTACAGGAAGTGGAAGTGCCTGTTGTGGGAAACCGTCAGTGTAACTGTCTGAACGGCGTGGGCACAATCACAGACAACATGATCTGCGCAGGTCTTTTGGATGGAGGAAAGGACTCCTGTCAGGTACTGTGCTGTTCTTATCGGACTAACATGTTGTCAGCAGAACATAACATCTCATCTCACACATGCACTGTTGTCTTTTAGGGAGACTCTGGAGGTCCCATGGTCAGTAAGCAGGGCTCTGTCTGGGTTCAGTCTGGTGTCGTTAGCTTTGGTTTTGGCTGCGCTCGACCCAACCTGCCAGGAGTCTACTCCAGAGTTTCCAACTACCAGCCCTGGATCAACTCCCACATCAGCTCAGATCAGCCCGGGTTTGTCCAGTTTATGTCCAGTGGACCAGATCCTGACACTAGCGCCACCTGTCCTGGTCTGCCCCCTCCTCCTCTTCTCACTACAACTGCCCCACCACAAGACACAACCACAGTCCCAGAGCCAGAGACTACAGAGGAAGAGCTGCTGGAGCCTACTGCAAAACGTCAGTATTCCTTCCTCTACTTTTACAACCACTTGTTTAACTAGGAAGGAACATGCTGCAACAACATTAAGTTGATTAAACTAAATTATCAGAAGAGTGGCGGGAACTATGTGGGCCAAATAATGCTCTTCGCTGGGTGGTGATAGATTTGCAGACTCCTTAGACTTTAGTGTTCTTTATGAAGATGAAAAGATAATATAGAGTTAGGCAGGGAGGTTAGTGACAAGACAGCTGTAACCATTAGTGATGAATGAATTTTCTAGCACTAATCAAGGTTACAAGGAAAATGGGAGATTTTGTGGAGGCTCTGACTCCAGGCCGACAACAACTTTACATTATTTGTTACAGTGTGTGGCATCACTCCTCTGAACACCAGGATAGTTGGAGGCAAAGATGCTCCAGCAGGAAGTTGGCCTTGGCAGGTCAGTCTGCAGAGGTTTGGCCGACACATTTGTGGCGGATCCCTCATCAACCGGGAGTGGATTATGTCTGCTGCCCATTGTTTCTCCAGGTCAGTGAGAGTTTTTAATATTACAGAGGACCATCTGGCTGGTTAGAGGAGGTTATGCTTCAATTATTGTCAAAATATTAAACAATGCCAACTTAACATCTGTTATATTTATTGTCTGTCTCTTCGGTTACAGTACCAATACCTTTGGATGGGAGGTTTCCCTTGGTCGAGAAAACTTACAAGGCACAAACCCAAATGAATTTTCCAAATCAGTGTCAACAATAATTTTACATCCAAATTATGACAGTTTTACCAGTGATAACGACATTGCTCTGCTCAGACTGTCCTCAGCAGTCACTTTCACAGATTACATCAGGCCGGTGTGTCTGGCAGCCGCTCACAGTGTGTTCAACAGTGGCACTGATAGCTGGGTCACTGGCTGGGGCACCGTTAGAGAGGGAGGTCAGTTTGATTTAATTCACTCTGCACAAACACTTTTCATCATGTGAATGTAATGAAGTGACCAGTGTTTCTCCTCTCAGAACCGCTCCCGTTTCCCCAAACCCTACAGGAAGTGGAAGTGCCTGTTGTGGGAAACCGTCAGTGTAACTGTCTGAACGGCGTGGGCACAATCACAGACAACATGATCTGCGCAGGTCTTTTTGGATGGAGGAAAGGACTCCTGTCAGGTACTGTGCTGTTCTTATCGGACTAACATGTTGTCAGCAGAACATAACATCTCATCTCACACATGCACTGTTGTCTTTTAGGGAGACTCTGGAGGTCCCATGGTCAGTAAGCAGGGCTCTGTCTGGGTTCAGTCTGGTGTCGTTAGCTTTGGTTTTGGCTGCGCTCGACCCAACCTGCCAGGAGTCTACTCCAGAGTTTCCAACTACCAGCCCTGGATCAACTCCCACATCAGCTCAGATCAGCCCGGGTTTGTCCAGTTTATGTCCAGTGGACCAGATCCTGACACTAGCGCCACCTGTCCTGGTCTGCCCCCTCCTCCTCTTCTCACTACAACTGCCCCACCACAAGACACAACCACAGTCCCAGAGCCAGAGACTACAGAGGCAGAGCTGCTGGAGCCTACTGCAAAACGTCAGTATTCCTTCCTCTACTTTTACAACCACTTGTTTAACTAGGAAGGAACATGCTGCAACAACATTAAGTTGATTAAACTAAATTATCAGAAGAGTGGCGGGAACTATGTGGGCCAAATAATGCTCTTCGCTGGGTGGTGATAGATTTGCAGACTCCTTAGACTTTAGTGTTCTTTATGAAGATGAAAAGATAATATAGAGTTAGGCAGGGAGGTTAGTGACAAGACAGCTGTAACCATTAGTGATGAATGAATTTTCTAGCACTAATCAAGGTTACAAGGAAAATGGGAGATTTTGTGGAGGCTCTGACTCCAGGCCGACAACAACTTTACATTATTTGTTACAGTGTGTGGCATCACTCCTCTGAACACCAGGATAGTTGGAGGCAAAGATGCTCCAGCAGGAAGTTGGCCTTGGCAGGTCAGTCTGCAGAGGTTTGGCCGACACATTTGTGGCGGATCCCTCATCAACCGGAGTGGATTATGTCTGCTGCCCATTGTTTCTCCAGGTCAGTGAGAGTTTTTAATATTACAGAGGACCATCTGGCTGGTTAGAGGAGGTTATGCTTCAATTATTGTCAAAATATTAAACAATGCCAACTTAACATCTGTTATATTTATTGTCTGTCTCTTCGGTTACAGTACCAATACCTTTGGATGGGAGGTTTCCCTTGGTCGAGAAAACTTACAAGGCACAAACCCAAATGAATTTTCCAAATCAGTGTCAACAATAATTTTACATCCAAATTATGACAGTTTTACCAGTGATAACGACATTGCTCTGCTCAGACTGTCCTCAGCAGTCACTTTCACAGATTACATCAGGCCGGTGTGTCTGGCAGCCGCTCACAGTGTGTTCAACAGTGGCACTGATAGCTGGGTCACTGGCTGGGGCACCGTTAGAGAGGGAGGTCAGTTTGATTTAATTCACTCTGCACAAACACTTTTCATCATGTGAATGTAATGAAGTGACCAGTGTTTCTCCTCTCAGAACTGCTCCCGTTTCCCCAAACCCTACAGGAAGTGGAAGTGCCTGTTGTGGGAAACCGTCAGTGTAACTGTCTGAACGGCGTGGGCACAATCACAGACAACATGATCTGCGCAGGTCTTTTGGATGGAGGAAAGGACTCCTGTCAGGTACTGTGCTGTTCTTATCGGACTAACATGTTGTCAGCAGAACATAACATCTCATCTCACACATGCACTGTTGTCTTTTAGGGAGACTCTGGAGGTCCCATGGTCAGTAAGCAGGGCTCTGTCTGGGTTCAGTCTGGTGTCGTTAGCTTTGGTTTTGGCTGCGCTCGACCCAACCTGCCAGGAGTCTACTCCAGAGTTTCCAACTACCAGCCCTGGATCAACTCCCACATCAGCTCAGATCAGCCCGGGTTTGTCCAGTTTATGTCCAGTGGACCAGATCCTGACACTAGCGCCACCTGTCCTGGTCTGCCCCCTCCTCCTCTTCTCACTACAACTGCCCCCACCACAAGACACAACCACAGTCCCAGAGCCAGAGACTACAGAGGCAGAGCTGCTGGAGCCTACTGCAAAACGTCAGTATTCCTTCCTCTACTTTTACAACCACTTGTTTAACTAGGAAGGAACATGCTGCAACAACATTAAGTTGATTAAACTAAATTATCAGAAGAGTGGCGGGAACTATGTGGGCCAAATAATGCTCTTCGCTGGGTGGTGATAGATTTGCAGACTCCTTAGACTTTAGTGTTCTTTATGAAGATGAAAAGATAATATAGAGTTAGGCAGGGAGGTTAGTGACAAGACAGCTGTAACCATTAGTGATGAATGAATTTTCTAGCACTAATCAAGGTTACAAGGAAAATGGGAGATTTTGTGGAGGCTCTGACTCCAGGCCGACAACAACTTTACATTATTTGTTACAGTGTGTGGCATCACTCCTCTGAACACCAGGATAGTTGGAGGCAAAGATGCTCCAGCAGGAAGTTGGCCTTGGCAGGTCAGTCTGCAGAGGTTTGGCCGACACATTTGTGGCGGATCCCTCATCAACCGGGAGTGGATTATGTCTGCTGCCCATTGTTTCTCCAGGTCAGTGAGAGTTTTTAATATTACAGAGGACCATCTGGCTGGTTAGAGGAGGTTATGCTTCAATTATTGTCAAAATATTAAACAATGCCAACTTAACATCTGTTATATTTATTGTCTGTCTCTTCGGTTACAGTACCAATACCTTTGGATGGGAGGTTTCCCTTGGTCGAGAAAACTTACAAGGCACAAACCCAAATGAATTTTCCAAATCAGTGTCAACAATAATTTTACATCCAAATTATGACAGTTTTACCAGTGATAACGACATTGCTCTGCTCAGACTGTCCTCAGCAGTCACTTTCACAGATTACATCAGGCCGGTGTGTCTGGCAGCCGCTCACAGTGTGTTCAACAGTGGCACTGATAGCTGGGTCACTGGCTGGGGCACCGTTAGAGAGGGAGGTCAGTTTGATTTAATTCACTCTGCACAAACACTTTTCATCATGTGAATGTAATGAAGTGACCAGTGTTTCTCCTCTCAGAACTGCTCCCGTTTCCCCAAACCCTACAGGAAGTGGAAGTGCCTGTTGTGGGAAACCGTCAGTGTAACTGTCTGAACGGCGTGGGCACAATCACAGACAACATGATCTGCGCAGGTCTTTTGGATGGAGGAAAGGACTCCTGTCAGGTACTGTGCTGTTCTTATCGGACTAACATGTTGTCAGCAGAACATAACATCTCATCTCACACATGCACTGTTGTCTTTTAGGGAGACTCTGGAGGTCCCATGGTCAGTAAGCAGGGCTCTGTCTGGGTTCAGTCTGGTGTCGTTAGCTTTGGTTTTGGCTGCGCTCGACCCAACCTGCCAGGAGTCTACTCCAGAGTTTCCAACTACCAGCCCTGGATCAACTCCCACATCAGCTCAGATCAGCCCGGGTTTGTCCAGTTTATGTCCAGTGGACCAGATCCTGACACTAGCGCACCACCTGTCCTGGTCTGCCCCCTCCTCCTCTTCTCACTACAACTGCCCCACCACAAGACACAACCACACAGTCCCAGAGCCAGAGACTACAGAGGCAGAGCTGCTGGAGCCTACTGCAAAACGTCAGTATTCCTTCCTCTACTTTTACAACCACTTGTTTAACTAGGAAGGAACATGCTGCAACAACATTAAGTTGATTAAACTAAATTATCAGAAGAGTGGCGGGAACTATGTGGGCCAAATAATGCTCTTCGCTGGGTGGTGATAGATTTGCAGACTCCTTAGACTTTAGTGTTCTTTATGAAGATGAAAAGATAATATAGAGTTAGGCAGGGAGGTTAGTGACAAGACAGCTGTAACCATTAGTGATGAATGAATTTTCTAGCACTAATCAAGGTTACAAGGAAAATGGGAGATTTTGTGGAGGCTCTGACTCCAGGCCGACAACAACTTTACATTATTTGTTACAGTGTGTGGCATCACTCCTCTGAACACCAGGATAGTTGGAGGCAAAGATGCTCCAGCAGGAAGTTGGCCTTGGCAGGTCAGTCTGCAGAGGTTTGGCCGACACATTTGTGGCGGATCCCTCATCAACCGGGAGTGGATTATGTCTGCTGCCCATTGTTTCTCCAGGTCAGTGAGAGTTTTTAATATTACAGAGGACCATCTGGCTGGTTAGAGGAGGTTATGCTTCAATTATTGTCAAAATATTAAACAATGCCAACTTAACATCTGTTATATTTATTGTCTGTCTCTTCGGTTACAGTACCAATACCTTTGGATGGGAGGTTTCCCTTGGTCGAGAAAACTTACAAGGCACAAACCCAAATGAATTTTCCAAATCAGTGTCAACAATAATTTTACATCCAAATTATGACAGTTTTACCAGTGATAACGACATTGCTCTGCTCAGACTGTCCTCAGCAGTCACTTTCACAGATTACATCAGGCCGGTGTGTCTGGCAGCCGCTCACAGTGTGTTCAACAGTGGCACTGATAGCTGGGTCACTGGCTGGGGCACCGTTAGAGAGGGAGGTCAGTTTGATTTAATTCACTCTGTACAAACACTTTTCATCATGTGAATGTAATGAAGTGACCAGTGTTTCTCCTCTCAGAACCGCTCCCGTTTCCCCAAACCCTACAGGAAGTGGAAGTGCCTGTTGTGGGAAACCGTCAGTGTAACTGTCTGAACGGCGTGGGCACAATCACAGACAACATGATCTGCGCAGGTCTTTTGGATGGAGGAAAGGACTCCTGTCAGGTACTGTGCTGTTCTTATCGGACTAACATGTTGTCAGCAGAACATAACATCTCATCTCACACATGCACTGTTGTCTTTTAGGGAGACTCTGGAGGTCCCATGGTCAGTAAGCAGGGCTCTGTCTGGGTTCAGTCTGGTGTCGTTAGCTTTGGTTTTGGCTGCGCTCGACCCAACCTGCCAGGAGTCTACTCCAGAGTTTCCAACTACCAGCCCTGGATCAACTCCCACATCAGCTCAGATCAGCCCGGGTTTGTCCAGTTTATGTCCAGTGGACCAGATCCTGACACTAGCACCACCTGTCCTGGGCTTCCTTTACAAATGAGTGCCATGAGTCCTACTCGTTAGTATTTTTTCCATAAGATTTTTTCTTTTAAAAATATATATTCCAGCAGTATTTTCGATAATATACATACTTTACATTATAGGCTCCTTTTGTGGTGTTGCTCCCAGTGATTTTGTGAGAAATGAGAACAGTATTTCTCAGATGTGGCCATGGATGGTCCGTATTTACAAAAGCGGCGCATACATTTGTGGAGGCACTCTGATTGCTGACAACTTTGTCCTTACTGCTGCAGAGTACTTTTCTGAGTCAGTATCGACCCCAGAACACAGTAATTCTTGCCAAGATAAACAATGATTTTTTTTCCCTTGTGTTTCAGCTCAAATCCAAATCTTCAAGATTGGGCTGTGTCTTTTGGACAAAGTGAGACCAGCTCTATGGGTGTTGTGGATGTTATAATGAGTGCTACCTCAGGATCCAGCATTGCACTGATAAAGCTGGCCATGTCTGTTAGCTACACCAATGACATCCAACCTGTATGTGTGGACACTATCAACACCACTACCTTCCCTGTTGGGAGTCAGTGCTGGGTATCAGCCTTTGGAGTTATGAGTGGGACCAGTGGTATGAATGGTCTAATTCATTCTTGAGAACTGCTGTTCTTGCACTACTTTCAAAGTTAGGCTAACCATTTTTTATTTTTAGGAAACAAACCAACTCTCAGAGATCTGAAAACTTATGTTGCAAGCTGTGAGAGTGTTTCTGACCTGGGCAATATTTGCACAACTTCCATGGATGTTCAGCAGGTAAAACAATGGACAGATTTGCCAATTTTCACAAATGAGGTTAGCCGATGGAAACAAAAACATAATCATTAGCTGCATGAACTAGACTCACCACCTCAATGCTCACCTGTTAGGTTGCCTATTGAGAAATAATAACAACCCCAGATACTAATGTAGAGGAAAAAATTATGTATCTCTTGATGATCAATAATGAATCCATTTGCATGGCCCGGTTAGTTTTTGGAATACAGACACAGATTTATTCTTTGTTACAGTAGATATGGACAGGGTCTTGACCTGTTCTGGCCAGAGACCAACAGCCTCTCTCAAGTATCCTCTCTCCAATCACCTCTCAAGTCTCTTCTCTCCATCTCCCTTGAGAGCATCTGAGCTCTGAGTATTTGAACAGAATTATAAATGACATATATATCAAAGCAGAATGAATTTTGCTTCTCAGACATGTGCTAATCAGTTTTTACACTGGGTTTACACTGGGTAAGGATAGGTAAAGTAACAAAGGACTTCTTGTAGCTTGGACGCAATGTCTGCTGAGCCTTTATACATGTTAATGACTGGTCTAGGTCTCAGGTAGAAATCAGATTAATTTACACAAAGACAGATTGAGAGAAAACTTTTCTCAACAATATAAAGTTCCATCTCACTAATGTGAAACTAAACATACAAAAGTCAAGGTAATTATGGGCCAGCGGAGCAACTTTGTGCCTCTTTTGTGAATAACTTTTCTCACGTCGTTGTTCGTGCCACTAAAATTCAAAACCAAAAGTGCATCGTTCATTTTCACACAAAGGGCCCGATCTTGCCTCCAATTAGCACTAGCGCAAGTGCGGGGCGTGGGGGTTCTAAGCAGGAGGTGTGCCGTATCTGAATATCGGTGGACTGGAGCAGACTGAGGGCGTGGTGTGGCGCGTTCAGCCAAATTGCCAAAATCGTAAAAACAAATATCAAACGAGTCCACTGAAAAACAACATGTAACATGCTCAAGGCTTCTTTTATTTGGAAATATATTAGGATGATAAATGCTTTACATTCATAACATGTTCCTGTGCTATGCTGGAGCCGTCCGGATGCCCTCCCACAGCAGAGCACAGCCCCGCGCCTGCTCCCTGTATCGGCTCAGCTCTGCTCTATAGTTTGGTTTGATCTGGATCTGTACAAATGCTGCTCATTCAAATGAGGCCATTTACAACGATGTCCTAAAGTGTGTTTTCTTACCCTGTCTGCCGTCCTAATGCTGTGATGTCGATTTCCTCACATTCCTGCGACCGGACTCTGACAGGGATCAGCTCGCGCATTTAGCTCTGCTAACAACACAGCTCTGGGCTGTGATGGCGGAGCAGACGCACATATATCTGTGCGCAAATTGGTAACATCAGAATAATTTATGTGACAATAAACATATTCCATAATCCGCAAGACTTCCACCTGTGTGGGACCAAATGCAGTAGACCCGTGAGACGAGAATGTGAGCGGTCAGCGGTAGCAGCAATGGACATTTGTCTCTCAGTTGAGTCTGTTGGAGCGGGCTTCCGGGACAGGAGGGAGTGGGTGCGAGAAAGCAGCGGGTCTGCTGTGGGATGGGGAGCGCATAAGATAGACACTGGTCTGCTGTGTAACGGGAGGAAAACGACCAGAGAAAACTATGAAAGGATGTGTGTGCGTGCGCAAGAGTAGCGTACGTGTGCGCAGAGTGTTCTGAACACAAACCCTGAGCAGTCAGTTCTGTCTTGGCCCATACAAATTTCTATATTCCTTGCGCCTGTGTTGGTGTGTACTTGAATTATGGGGCTCCGGAGTTGTTTTAGTGTACCCATATATAACTTTTCCCCACACTCTACTTTGCTGTCTGATAATGAGGCAAAGATTACGGACATTATCCACACTGGCAGTGATTTTAAATGCCACAGCGGTCACAGATAGGTTCTGACGCCGTCACTATATATGTACTTGTACTGTCCCACTCCAGTCTCCAGCAGCGAAGTACAGCCCCACCTGGACACGCCCACTCCTTAATGCTTGCGCTAGTGCTAAGATTAGGGGCAAGATCGGGCCCAAAGAGTACTCACTGACTCACCGATTTAGAATGCTATTTAGGAGGCATGTGGTACTTAGTTTTATTCATATCTCTCCTGAAGCATATTATAATTCATAATAACATAATGAAATGTAATTTACAGTTTTCTGTGCAAATTCAGGGAGACCAGGGTGGCGCTCTTTTGTGCCGATCAGGTGCCTCGTGGTTTCAGGCGGCTGTGATCACTGTGAGAGGAGCTAAAACCTTCCACTCTGACATCCATGTCTTCACCAAAACTTCGAGTTTCGCTAATTTCATAAAGGAAACTGTGGGAGACATGCCATCTCCTGCTGCAGTGAATACAACAGCCTCGGGGGGAAACTCAGCTGAAGTGTCTGTTCTGTTGCTTATTGTTACCTCCATATTACTGTCTTTGTAAATCCTCTCCACATTGCTGCATAGTCACATTAAACTAACTGTGTTAACTGTTCAAAGATATGATATTGTGTCATTAGTTTGCAAATGTTTTCTTTCCAATCACATGCATATTGATTTTCAGCTTTTTCATAGCTCAATAAAACTTAAATTAAAATCCTTAGTGCTTTTTGCAATAATTTTTTATATATTGATCATTTGAAGGCCTATTTCATAAACTTATATTTATGTATTTTAAGTTTACTGCTACTGTACATGGTTCTTGTAATCAAATGAAAGCATTTAAGAGATGCTTTGCACCATACCTCTCAGAGATTATTTGAATTTGCACCCCCTGAGCCATACAAGAACATATTACTTTCTTCCCCTGCTCTGTAATTGCCTAACTGTGGGACAGAGGCTGAACAGGCATTTGACTTGATAGCAACACAAAATTTATTTAGGAGAGGTAAGTAGTACATACACTGGCTGTAATATAAAGCGGCCGCAGAAAGAAGAGGGTGCCTTGTGGCCCTGCAGCTACCATGGCCAGTCTATGGGAGCTACCCACAACACCCTGCTCTTAAAGGGACCAACTGGGACATACAAAATCATAGAATGTGTTTACTAGGCTATTTAAATCTAACTGTGAACAAGCATTTTATTTGCAAAGGAAAGTTAGGCTACTTTTGTTGTAAACATGATAAAAAAGGTTGATATATATTTGAATCCATTTGAATTAATTACAGCCCTATTATTGAATATTGTTTATATGTTAGGCTATATTTTATGTTAAGCTGCTGGTTCTTCTGGAGCACCATCGAGAGCCTCTTCCTGCCCTTGAGTCTCATCAGCAATCATCTGTTGGTATTTACTCTTGAAAAATCCAGCCTGTAGAATACATGCAGACAGTGTTGGGCCGAGTAATAGTGTTATTTTCATAATGGCTCCACAGCATGATCTACCTTGTATAAGCCAGCGGTCAGTAACAGCACCAGCACCACTGCTCCCACAGATCCTCCAATGATTTCTTTGGTGAAGTCCACTTCCGTATAGACTTCTACTTCTGCTTCAATCTGTGGAGACGTACTTAGTACACATGAATGGAATTTATTTACAAAAATATTACTGTACTCTTTAGAAATATTAGCAGATCAGTTCTAGAGGCTGACACCAAAACCCAGTGGGCTAGTCTGCAGTTTGTTAGAAGGACAAACATTTCAAGATGATTAAAAAGTCATAACGCATCTACATTGTTTATTAAAATTCTAATATATATATATATATATATATATATATATATATATATATATATATATATATATATATATATATATATATATATATATATATATATATATATATATATATACACACATATATATATACATATATATATACATATATATACATATATATATATATATATATATATATATATATATATATATATATATATATATATATATATATATATATATATATATATACATATACATACATATACACATATATATACACATATACATACATATACATATACACACACACACACACACTTACATATATATATATATATATATATATATATATATATATAATATATATATATTTGTGGCTCACATTTATTCTTAAAATAGCTGGTAACAATTGTGATTTACTTCATCTCATTTCTTATATTTTTAACAAAAGATGGCACTGTACCTTGACGGGTTTGTTCTCTGCAAAATAGAAAATAAAGCGGTCTGTATCATACTCCAGAATGGCTGTGCTGATGAGGAGAAACTTGGCAGATTTTAGTCCAATCTGTGGGAGGCATAAATGTATCATGGCACACTGGCATCTGTCAGGTAATACTGAATGTAAATGTATGTGTTAGACAGTGTCAAGACCTGCTCAATCCATCCTGAGCTGAGGTTAGCAGAGATGATGTAGTCTTTACTCTCCATTTGCCCCATGAAGCGAGTACACCTGAAAACCCTGCATTTGGCCACACTGCAGTTCTGTTTGGGTTGATAAAAATAAACACAAATGACCAGATTTCTAATTTTAGTGTTGTCATATTGATTGTGACAGTATTGAAATTGATACTTACCACAAATTTGTTCTTCTGTATTTGTGGAACAAAATCTGTCACCGTTGGCTCTTCATCCTTGTCTTTTTGACAGTCTGGAATCTTGAAAAAAACACAACAAGCACAATACTACAAGCACAGTACAATTCAAAAATGACAGAAGGTATTTACTCTACTAAAAAAAAAAATCTAATGCTTATAATTATGTTTATTAGATGAACGAGTTCAATAGATAACCCCATATGAGCCCAGTTATGTCAGAAGTCTGATGGTGTAATCCTTTATTTACCCAGGTGTGGTCACTTTTCATCAAAGTGAAAATGGGTTCTGGATGAGAGCTGAAATGTTAAAGTCCTATGAAACCTTTTCTACCTTATAAAACTAGTGAATTTCCTTGTCTCCTTTTACCTGCAAAGAGTCAGAGTCTACCCAGATGTCCCTCTTGCCAAGCTTTACTGGAACACGGATCACCACAGAGAAATTCAATGTTCTGATCTCATTTGTAACCTGCAAAAAGAGTATTTAATATTATGAAAAGACATTCACCTATATCACAATCCATTGTACTTTACCTTTATTGACTGATTGAGTGGCTTCTGTAGATCATTTTTACCAAATGTAAAATTGGTGTAGCTGTTTGAACTGAAGAGATTTTATGTGAGGAAAAAAATATGTACAATAATGTAGGCATTTTTTGTTAAATGTACCTTCCAATTGTCACTGAAATGCTGTATTTAACATCAATCTCTCTCTCTTTTTGTATCGCTGGGACAAATGGGAGGAATTGGCACTAAAAGTAATGAAAACAAATAAAAGATAAGTGCTTATATAGTTTTGTTCAAGTTGATACTACAGTGAATGGCACCTGGTTGCATTTGCAGTGATAAGAATCCTCCTGTCGAGTTGGCTGTTGGTGTTGAAGCCATATGAGACAACAAAAACCGCCTACAACAATACCAAAGGCAATTGATGGTGCATGCTACACAAGAGAGGGTTTATGAAAAAATAAACCACAAACCTTTGCATTGCTCTTAAAGATAGGCTTATCAATAAAGCATTCGGTCCGTCCTCGTATCAAACTGTCCTTACTGTCCACTGAGTTACAGTCAATTCTCCCCTTAAAGAAATATAACAAGGAATAAGAAAGTAGTTGGCAATCAGTGATGATCTGGCAAACTTCTTACTCGAAGTCCAGTGAACTTGCGGTAGGAAAGTCCCGAAGGATATGTCAGGATGACTCTTGTATCATAGGAATTTTTCTTCTATATTTTCTAATGACACTGTCACATTGAGCAAATCATCAATGCCAATTCGGACTACAGAAGATCTGTAAAGTCAAAATGGTGATTAAGTAGCTTAAAGAGTAACATTCTGTGAAAAACTATCACATAAAAACTGTATACCTGGTGAAGTTAAAGTCCACTATGAGTCTGTCAATACACGTGTCATCCACCCCACAGTTGATCTCAAACCCCAACTAAAATGAAAATATTTCGATTAAATATATGTTTAACATTTATAAATCATCTCCCTGTCCACCTACATCTTTGTTGACTTTTGTGGGGGACTGTTCAGAGAGACTTGGTTTGAGGTTTTGGGAGGAAGCCAAGCTTTCAAATGTGAACTGCAACTCATTGTAAAGAGGACTGAGAGCATCTTCAGGACATGACTGTAAGTAAAGTGTACTGGACATTAATAAAAACAATACACATTAAAATTCATGCATATAAATCAACATTTGTAACCTGTATAAAGAATCTGATAATAACACATTCATGATGGTTCAGTGTAATGGTGAGACTTCCAGTTGCGTCTGGTTGTTTCTCCTTGATGAATGCCCGGTTATTTGGGACAATGCGTGTGGCATCCAAAGTAAAAGTATAATTGATTCTTGCTTGAGCTGAAAAACCACGTATATTCAGTAAATATTCAGTAAATACTGAAAAGAGAATGACTGAAACTTTAATAAGGACCTTGATCTAGTGAAGTGACATTGAACATAGTGAAGCAGACAGTAGCAGAAGCATCTAGAGGTTTTGAGCAGTCGGGATTCTGAGTTGGGATCAGTTGTGGCATGAAGGAAATTGCGGCATCTACTTTTACAATTGGTTTGGACCTGGGACAGAGTAAATAAAGAAAAATGGTTAATACGACCAAATATATGTATGCAGATCAATATAAGGGAATATCACATGGATGAAGCACATTATAGCAATGAATGATAAAAATATACATAAAAAGTATATAATATTAAAGCAGGAAAAATATTACATGATAGACCCAGCTCCAAGGGGAGTTTAAAAGACTGAAAATATTATGATAAAAAAAGATAAAGTATTATTAGGCCCGAGCGCCACAAACTGATGAAGGGCCTATTGCTGGGTTTCAGATGACATCATAACATTCTATAGGCCAGTAAAATTAATACTGTTTAAATGCAGATTTTTGTTATAATACAGTCAGTATTAACAGATTCAACTTTTATGCATTTACCTTTTGGATATTTCATGGCAAAGTACAGTGTAATCAATTGGGAAATATGACTCTTGCCTGCTGTCTGAGAGTATGACATCATCACATTGTACAATCTGAAACCCACCAATTAGGCCAGGAAGTTAACTGGTGTGAAGTAACATGAAGGACGAAGGAATGCGTAAGAGCTTTCCGAAAACTTATAGATTGTTAGCTAAAAAAAATCGAAATATTATTATTTCTTTCGCTCTTTTATTTTTCTTCTTATTTTTTCCAACCAACTCACCCATTTTTCACCCACTGAACAATGATGAAAACTCAAGAAACTTTGCCATTGGATAAAACTTGCGCTTCTCTAACTTTTGGCTATTTCCATTTTCCGGAAATAAATAAATAAATAATAATAAATAAACTAGTCTCTCACTTTTTCGGAAGCCTTAATTTATATGTTTCAGAGACCATAACTTCATAAAAATAGA